AAGCACGTGCTTCGCAAAGAGCCTACTGACATTGTCAAAGACTGGAAGATTCACTTGTGAATGACGGTGGGAATGCTGCAGATGGAGCGCCTTTTAAAGAGCGTTCCCAAGCATGAGATTCCCACTGAGTGCAGTGGCGGCTTACTGCCCTAGTAAGTGCATTTAGGATTTAGACTTAGGGTGTTAGCCTGGTGCGACCTGAATGGATTTTTGAGCTATGGGAAATAAAGGATGGAAATAGCAAAACATGGAAGGGTTACAAATTGAAACTGTTGTCTTGACCCTGGTAAAATCCTGGGAACAATCGCACAGCAAAAGCCTTGTCTGGGCACATCCTAAGTCCATTTGGCTGCAGTGCAAGTAGAATTCAGTGGTGGCAGCACTGAGTTAGAGGGACCAATTCTTTGGCTTCCTATAAATAGCTTCTTATCATAAAAATAGTTCTAACATGATATTCCACCAAAAATAGCCTTTTTGGTTGCGGTGCACTTTTCTTCCTTTCCTTTTTCTTTTTATGTATAAAGTTTTTTTTAAAAATAGCAACATAAAACATTTCAAAAACAAGCCTAAAGGCAGATAGTAACCAACTTAATGGAATTAGAACCTACACAACAAGTAATCTGCAACAAGGGCAATATAGATCAAGGTAATGCAGGCAAATGAAATGATTACTAAACAAGGTGTGGAATAGGAAGCTTTTCTGATAGTGAATGGAAACTACAATGGCAAAATGCAGTCCCGTACATTTTTGTTCCAAAATCAGTCCCTCCTTGTGCAAGGGACCCCGTTGCAAGGGAATTGCATGTGGGGCTGCAGCATAAGGGGCCAAAATTGAAGGGTTTTAATAGATCTAGGTGCAATCTATGGCATATGCAGTGAATGCTCCACAGGTCAGAGAGAGGGTGGCCCTTCTGTTAAACACACACCATGGACCATTCTTTCCAATTACAGGCTCAGGTGTTGAGTGCGGACAGCAGTGGAGCCAAACTGGGGACACTGAGAAATAAGAAGCTGGTATCAACATGCTTGGAGTTTGCAGAACTATAATTGAAAAAAAAAAATCAAGCAACACCTAATTACTGGAGCATTCCGCTTGGCAAAGCAGCTGCATAGTAACACGGAAGGTACCACCATGGTTAAAAAAGAAAAAAAGCAGAACATGAAGGTGGCAGGAGGAGGAGAAGGCCTGCTTGGAGGGAATGGCTGGCTAGAACTCTGAGCAAGGGTGTTCCATTCAGTGGGGAGGGAAATATTGCGACATTCAGTTGCAGCTCCTCCTGAACTATTATCCACCTCAGGGGCAGTTTCGTTTCTAAAGGAGAATGGGGGATTTAGCTTGGAAGGAGCAAACGACAGTAACCTTGTCTGTCCGATGCAGGTGGGACAATGAAACACTGTGCATATTTTAATTTGATGGATATTGTGAAGAAAGTGAATTTCTCTTTGAAGAGAAATCCCCCTTCCTACCAGCAAGTCTGAAACTAAAGTACCACTAACCCATGACTCTTCTTGGAATTGACTGTGAAATTGTACAATCATTTTCCGTGGCATTTCCTGAAAGAAAGGTGAGGGCATGGATATTCTCCCTAATGTGGAAAGCATCCCAGAAGAGTAGCGTGTGATTACTTGTATGGAAGCATTGAGTCTTAATGGAAGCCAGAAATCTGTTCTTGTCTGTGCTGTCAACAAACTGCTACCCAGGCCATAAAAGGTATCTCTTGCACATGGTGCAAAGGAAGGATGCACTAGATATGTTTCTTGAACAGAACATGAAAGATAGTGTGCCTTTCCTCTGCAGCAGTCTCGGTGCCAGCAAAGACATAAACTAGCTGGGTCCAGAGCTGTCTAATGCAAAGTGTACCTGGGACTCTCCAGATGCGTTTGGAATACAATTCTGTCCATCCCTGGCTGCCAAGGGAGTGAGGGTGCCTTGCTAGGGAAGGCCAGTAGAGATGGTGGACCATCAGCAGCTTGGCCAGAAAGGGTTATCTGCTTTTTGACCCTAAGTCATGTTCTTTCTAGATGTTACACATTTATCTGTAGTGCTGTGTACATAATGCCTTGGTCCTTCGCCCTTTGGACGCTGGTTTCCAATCTATTGTGAGTGTGCTACGTTAATGATGAACGATGGCTGTATACTCAAGATATCATGGTCATGTTCTGGAGTCTGCGGTTGGGTAATTAGGATTGGCTCGTTTCTTCTTTCCCAAGTCTGTGATTAAGCAATTAAGAGGTCTGTTGCTGGTCTACTGCAACAGAAGATTTATTTGTGGCTATTTTTGTGTTAACTTTTCAGCTCACTTGAATGAGTATTCATGGTTTCACTATGCTTTCAACCTTGGTGTATATAAATTAACATAATTTAACCCCCCCCCCCAAACTCAGAGGATTACGGACATCCAATGGAAAGTGGAGAAGTATGGTGGTAAGCATTGTTGCTGCTTTCCCCTCACCACGCAAAACATTTAGTAGCCAATTTTGGCCATCTAATATTTTTCATTTTCTAGCAAGAAGAGAGTCTGAGGCTATACCAGGATTCCTTGGGCAGTGATGCATCTCTCCTCGACTCTCCACAGAATATCGAACATTCCCCCATGCTGGTTCCAAAATGGTCATCCAACTTTGGAACTCAGCCAGTGCAGAGAGAACCAAGCCAGCTGTGATGGCGGGGGGGGGGGAGGGGGACCTCCCAGGTTGGAGCCCTAGCCTTGATCTCAGAAGACACTTTCAGGGCTAGAGTGGGGACTCCAACCTATCATGTGGTTCCGCACAGCGTTGGGGGTCCATTGGATTGCACCATAATATAATGCAGTTCCTGTTGATGCTGAAAATTCTCTGTCAGACATGTCTGTCCTTCACAGAACCAGAGTTTCCAGGTTCTGCTAGAAGGATGACTAACCTGTTTAAAATTATGGTATAAAGTTTACTTATTTCTTAACCCTTTTTTCATGTTAAATTCTATTCAAAGTAGAGAATGCAATGACTGGCTAAAAAGAAGTAAGAAGGAATGGTATGATTATAAGCAAAACTGAAACTTTCCCATTCTTTCTGACTCTCTGTCCCAGTGTATGTTGTAAACACACATTGCAATGCTTTCTCCTCATGTGCTTTTAAATAAGAACTTAAATATGAAGATGTTCTGGATAATATTAACATTTATTGCAACTCACTGGTAAACACTGAACATATGTTTTCTATAAAATACTGTTTAGAACTGAAATGCATTGTATTTTGCTTCATGTCCCAAAACTTTTATCTCAATTACTGAGCTTGTGTTCAAAAATATCGCAACAGAGGTGTGGTATTTTGCTCACTTGGCTTATTTTTCCTCCTAGGTATTTTGTCACTGCAATTACATGTGTTATACACAGTTGTTGGATTCCGTCAGCTTCAGCCTTTCAATTTTAGGTCCAAGATGTGAGATGGTCAGGCTGGAGGTGTAGAACTGGCTTAGAACTGTCACCCTTTAATATATAAGATCTCTTCTTCTTTTCTTTGTTTGTGTCAGCAGGAATTCAAGATGGCCTTTTTCTCACCAATGCTATTCAGATTGCAAAAGGACATAAAAAAAGTGTGACCTGTCACCATTTTGCAAATGATTTTATTGCAAAAGAATCGGTGCTTTCATGCCACAAAGTGGTGTCCAGTCTCTGTGCTTTGCTTAACATTTGTTCCATGCAGATTGAAACAGCAAATACTTCTGTGTAACAAAAAGTTACAGCAAAAAAATAGCTTATATAGAATCCAGTGAAGTTTTCTCTTATTTAAGCTCACGTTGCTACGATGGGTTACTCCTTATAGTATTTGTTTTCAGGAGGTTGCAGCAATGTACACCTCTTCACTTTCATTTTTGTTATATTTTGCCTGACCTTTGCAAGATCTTTGTAATCTTTATTTAAAATTGGCATTTGTCTCTTCACATTAAGAGACCAATGCCAGTTAAAACAAACACATTAAAACAAACTTGGCCCTTTTGAACATAGCAAGCGGTCTCATACTGAATCAGCCTACTGCTCTGCTCTGCTCTGCTCAGCTCAGCTCAGCACACCAGCCTTCCCCAGACCCTTTACACATGTTGGACGATACCTCCCATTACCCCTACCATCTGGAGGACCTGGGAGCTGGCTTACACGGACTGGCAGCAGCTCCCTAGGGTTCTAGAAAGGACTCTTTTCCTAGCTCCACTTCAAAATGAACCTAGGATCGGTTTGCATGTTTGCACTAGCACATTCTGCTAGTGAGCTACAGCCCTTCACCATAGGATGGCTGCCTCACTGAAGCAGAGGAAATATATTGTCTAAGAGAACAATGAGCCCATCAGGTTGTATAACATATACGAGACCTTAGAACCTGAATCGATCATTTTGGAAGAACTTCAGTGCATTTCGCCATAGTGGAGAAGGCTGGCTGGATGCCACGGATGCCACCCCTCAGCCTTCTGTCCAGGTGTGAAATGTTGATGGGCAGCTGCCCTGTCAGCTCGCTAAAATAGAGGAGTGTCTTGTTTTCTGTAAAATAGGACTGCTGGCTTCTCTGCATTTCCACTTCTCTGCAAGTGGATGTTTCAGGCACTATCTACTCTTACGTGTTGTGCTTTTCAAAGGCCGGTGTTTAGTGAACTGTCCACCAAGCAGTGCTGTAAGATCAACCACAGAGGTTCTGCTCATGTGCCCACTGGTAAGATTCATTGGGCTGGCAGAGCCAAGAGGGAGGGACTTTGCTGCAGTGGCCCCATCCTGGCAGCATGCATTACCACAAGCCTTAACGATTTAGCTGTTCCCATCTGCTTTTAAATAAATGGATGCCTATTTTTACTGCTGTTGATCTTTTACATGCAATAAGTTGAGTGTTTAGTTGGTTGTACTGCATATTTTCTTGTTTTGAAATTTACCTTGTCCAGCAATTTGAAGAGTGTTTGTCTCAAAAGGTGGCATAAAAATATTTTAAATTATGATGAATAATGCAGAACATATTATACCTCACTTTTTCTCTCATTGCAGTGATCTGCTGTCTTCAGAATACCTTGAGAGGCATATAGAACATGGTGGGAAGATGGTGGAAGTTAAAGTAAGATTTTACATATTCATTTTTGTTATATAGTTTTGTTGCTGTTGGGGATCATACACTGGCAACTGAGTTGTTTAAAAACTGTGCTAAAACATTGTAAGTTTTGTTCTTTGGCGGCATCTTTCTTGCTGTTGTTGCTGATTCATGTTCCACCACAGATAGCAAAAGTTCTGCTGGGTTACCGCAGATGCTCACTTCTTCACCAAGTGCTTGTCTCTACAAAGGCAGCATGGAGGACTTTTTTAAGCGGAGCTGAATCCCAGCATGGACAGAAGTGCCTCCCAGCCACAGCCGATGGTAGATCGATCACGAGAAGCAATCCCTTTCTAGCCCTGGCATCATGCATGTGGCAGGAGTTACACAAGCATGTTTAATTGCAACAACGGCAGGCTGAGTTGAGAATATTCAACCACGGATAGACACGATCCAGGGACACACATACAGCATAGCAGCAATAATCTGGGTAGGCCTTCCTGATACACTGCACTACAGTCCTTACCATCCGCAGCCAGCATGATGGGAACTGTAGTCCAAAACATCTAGAGGGCATCAGCTTGGGAAAAGCTGAGTAGAGGTTCACATACATGTTGCTATGATAATATCCACCTTCTGAATCCACAGTAGTTCAGCTGCCTGCCTAGAACATTCAAGATCAGGCATGCTGCATGCAAGAGAAAAATAGTGCATTCCATTCACAGAGCATCCAGAACTGGGCATGGTGACCCACAGGAAAGTTCAGTATTGCAGCTTGTGGATCTATTGTGATTGCTGATTTCTGTCCCAGCGCTTGAGGCCACGCTTTTGTTGGTTGTGCCACACAATATTTGCCTCTTGCCCTTAACGATAGCACAGTGGCACATTGCTGCTGGTGGCCAAGAGGAATTGGGGCTTTAGATGATGTAAATGTGTATGTTTTAAATAAAAATATCTCCATTTATGTTAAGAATATAGTCATGATGAGAGTGCCATATGTATACAATAAAAATCTGTTTGTTTCTAAATATAACCTGAAGCAGAGACAAAACATAACAAATGACGTTAAGGAATGGACATAAGTTTTTGCCTGTTAGGTAATATACACAGAAAGGAAAATCTAAACACTTTGGACTACTAGCAAATCCCTTTTTACCAAATTAGGTCCTGATTCAGCCAATTCAGCTAGCTGATTCTAATTGGAATGCCTTTTCAGCAGATCAAAAGTCAGTGCAATTTTTTGGCAGACGTGGTATAGGAATGCCTGGACTTTTAAGTGTGATGGTTGAGTAATGTGTGTTACGATGCTTGCATGGTCCTTCAGTGATGCAGAGCTGCCCATTTAGTCCTGTGGGGAATTGGGGTGTTCTTGCAGTTCCTACTGCACCCGATCCCTTCTGCATTAGTGCAGAGCTACGGGGCTTCAGGCCTTGGGGTTTCGAACTGGCATCTCTGTGGTTCCCCAGAAAGCGACGTCCTCCCCCTGGCTCCAAACCTGGCCTGAACCAGTTGTTTGGTGATTTCCTTACCTTTGTGCACCATCTGTGCTCCCTTTCTGAATGATTGCAATGCTTCCAGGTCTTAGTGGCTGACAACAAGAACTTTTTGCTGAAAAGCACTTGCATTGTAGGCATTTTTGGCCCCGCTCCTTTCCTGTTTGAGATTCACCCACCACTGTGAAACAGTCCCCACAGACTTCTCTGGAATGGGATCCATTCCTTAGGCTGAAAGAAGTTCAATACGCCTGGATTAGGAGCCTTTCGTCTGCTTCTTGGCTGTTCCTGCAGAAGGGAAGACAGAAGTCACAGACACATTCACACCTGTCCAGCACCCAAATGGAACTGGTGGTCACTGTGGTGAGGCAAGGAGGCAGCACGCTGCCTTGTCTGGCTGAGTCGTGGTGGTGGCTACACCCTTACTAGCTGGTTGCCCACTCCCGCACAGCTCTCAGCACGCTCACCTGCCGGCGAGGCCCATTTGCTCAGACTGAGCTCTGAGAGTGGCCTTGGGGGAGAAGAGGCGGGCAAGCTGGTTAAAAAGCATGCACTGTAATTTGGGTCTAAACAACAGATAAATACTTTTATATTTATGCCATTGACTCACTTGCCTGTCAAAGATTCTGTTTGGTTCATCTCTAGGTTGGAGTTACCAGCCACAAGTTCACTTGCTGGTTTGGTTCTAGCATAACATGGTTTATATAACTTGCATATTAATTAATTTGAATCTGTCCCAGGTAGCAAACTGCTGTTTGAGCTAAGGAACCATGATTGGAAATCATGGTTTGAAGTTGGATGGTCAATCTCAGATTGTGTTAATTGTGGTTGTTACACCCAAATTTGATATCTTGGCTGAATCCGTTTTGTTACTTCACTCCACCCCAGCTGCCTGCCTGGCTACCGAGAAAAACGGCTAGAAAACAAGCCTCCTCATGCAATTGCATTTCTTTGTAAGCAACAGTTATGCATGTGCCACTCACAGGAAGATTCTTCTAGCGATACACAGTAAGGCTGAAATGCGACATTTGCTGGCCCGGCCCCCTCCAGCCTCCTAATCCAGATTTAGGTCTGAAAGAACAAGGAAAAATGTTGTTGTGCAGAGGGTAAATTGTAAGCAAGCACAACATGTGACATGGCACAACGTCATCACTGATCACAGGACGAGTCTGAGTCGCCGCTCCAATTTCCTGACTTGGTGGAGCTGAAACCTACATGAGATGGCCTCAACTGTGGTTTTAATTAATAGGCTTTATTTTATCATGGAATAAATATTTAGCTGCAGTAGTAAAACTGGCAATGGAAGGAATTCCAATTCAATCACCCCCTCTAAAGATCTTGACAGAGAAACTGGCACTAATTGTCATTCCATCTACTGTTGTGTGGATTAATTAGCACTCTGCGTGCTTTCTCGTTATTTCGCTAACTGCTTGCTTGAGCCAAGTTGGTGCTTGCAATCTTGAACATTGCTGTGCTCTCCCAGAACCAAAGAGGAATGAAAGAGACTCAGGAGATCAGTCCCCTCCCACAACCTTCTTGCATCGATTTTCTCCTCTAGGGAGATAATACGCAAGGTTTTTGTTGGCATGTGTTAACTCACTTTCTCCTAGGGTTTCCCGATTAGAATTTCAAAGATAAAGTACAGTGCACAATAAGGGTCTCTTCTGTGGGGTTGTTGTGCTCTGTTGGAAACCGTGGTTTGTTCAGTAGGTTAAGCACTTCCTATACCCCTGCTCCTTTCTCCACTGCAAAATGCGCCCCCCCCCCCCGCCCCCTTACTGGGATTTTTTGCAGGGAGGATGTTGGGATAACATTCAATGCAGCTGCAGTTTAATGTCCTGCTTAATTCCAATAAATAGGCAGCTGTACAGCACTGCAGATTCCCCTCATCTGTTCCTTGTACCTGGTGGTTGTTTTGCACCTTGCGTTAGAAGCTGACTGCAGGCAGAATCAAATGAACATAATTAGGAAAGACTTACTGAAGTTACAAAGCACCCAAGACTACTTTGACTCTCAGGTCTTAATTCACCAAGTGAAAGAAGCACTTGTGTGATGAATCTGGAAGACAAAAGATGGGTAGCAAAGCACACTAGGCACGAAGAACAGTCTGGGTTTAATCCTTGCTAGTCTTTTTATTCCCCTCCACAAAACAAACAAACAAACCACCCAACAAGGAATGGGAACATCTCCAGAGTACACATAATTGAGGTAGATTTATCATTAGTATATGTTTCCACATTAGGACAATGTATGCAAAATATAGCGTGCAAAACGTTATTCTTGATACTTGCAAGAAATTTGTACATAGGCATAGGTGATGATTGCATTGGCATGAAGATCTCATTGCATCTATATCAGCTGGGAAGATGTGATCCCAGACTGCCTCTTTGCTATCAAATGCAGAGGCAAATACCAAGAGAATCAGTTGAGCAGGCAAATGGTCATGCTCAATTTTACCAGGGAAGTAGGGGTTTTCTAGAGAGAAGTCTGAGGCACAGCCAAGGTCAAAATCCAGGAAGTCAGTCAAGAAGAAGCACACTCTAAAAACAGCTTGACAGGAGTCAGCACTGTAATGATCCAAAGGCAAGCAGAAATGAAAAGAGCTAGACAGCAAACTTACATTGCCAGTGGCTCCTGATCTGCATGTGGAGATGGGATCAGCGGAAGTGTGTTGCAGGAGGAGTCCCTTGATGCTGAGCAGTCCCTTCTTTCTAATCAAGTTCTTCTTAAAGGAACGCTACAGATCTGCCTCATAAAGTCATTATGTTCTAAGGGGCTAGGTTACTTCTCAGCCTGTACCTCAGAGGCAGAACTCTCCTCCTGAGGGGACGGACCCATGTTTCCCTGAGAACACAGCCGCCCTCCCAGGTCTCCTGGCCAGCCTGGTGTCTTCCATCTCTGGAAGGCCAAAGGAAAATTCTTCCAGTGGGCAACTGACAGACTGGAGCAGAGTGTGAGAAATAAAACTGAATCCATGCATATGCCATCACAAGTGCTAATTTATTTCTAGGTTGCACATTTCTTCCTACACTTGGTGCAGCAATACTGCCTTAAATGGAACAATGGTCAGACTTGGTGAAAGGCAGCCTCCTGAATTCTTTTTTTCAAAGGCAAGATTGATGCTTGGAAAATGGGTGGATGTGTTGCTGCCAGTCAGAGTAGGCAGAACAGGGCTAAGTGGACAATTTGTTTCAACTGGTATAAAGAAGTCCCCTCTGTTCCTAATAAGACCATCTTTTCTAGTTTAGAAAAGTCTAGTTTTCTAGTTTAGTTTAGGGTGTAGTATTGCGTTGTTAGATACACAAGGGTACTTGAATTGTATTCTATCCTGGCACAGTTTATTGGAAGCCGTGCCTGTGGAAAAGTGAAAATAAAATTATTTTTGCTCTCTCACCCATGCAAGAGAGCAAAGGCACTTTCTGAGAACAAATGAAGAAAGTAAAAGACAGTGAAGCAGGGAGAGGGACAAACAACACTGTTTGTTTTTGTTTGGAGAATCTGGATTCTATTCTTGGGTTAAAGGGGCCCAGACTT